TATACTGTGTATACTGGTAGACCCTTCTCTATACAACAATCTTGTCTACAACGATTTTCTCTATACAGGGAATTTTAGTCCCATATAGAGTCCTCTTTTCATGTTATAGGGGTTGTCAACAACAAAATTCTCACAACAGCGAATTTATTTCTGAATTATTGAATTTCGTTATATATACATAGAAAGAGTCCAACTGTATAAATATAATGTGAATGCAGTACTGTACAATACAATGCAGTGCATGAAAAGAAAGAAAGGATTATTCAAAATGCAGGAAAAAAAACCACTGTTATCAAGGTACCAGCTCACGACACCAAAGAGTTCCTTGGCGGCTGCATTATAGTGGCGGCGGCGGCGGCGGCGGTGGTGGCGGCGATGTCGCGGCGGTCGTGGCGGAGAATCCGCTCAAGAATCTCTTGTACAGTATATATTTTTCCCGGCCCATTCTCGAGCACCGCAACCCCTCCGAGTGGTTCCCAGTCCACATAAAGTTCCCGTTCCCCAGATCCCATATTATATTTTGTATTAATTTATTCTTTTTAAAAAATATTTCCGCAACCTGAATTAACCATGAGCAATAGAGAACTTATTTGAAAGAGTTTTATAAAGCCTGAGAGAGATTTTTTTAATGAGTATGGACAGGCCAGTGGAATTAAATAGATTTCAGCATGGAGGAATTTAAAAAATATAATATTCAAACAAAAAACATGCTGGGAAGAAAATCAGTAATCTTTTAATTGTGGATTTAATTTCACTCTAGCAGACATGTTGTTTTTCCAAAATTGCCTTTGCAGCTCAAGCCACTGGATTTTGGAGGATCACAGATTATCACCCATATCTGCCATTTTGTCAACTAAAGTATGTCTGGAAATTTTCATGGTTATTTAAAGTAAAGTTTTATAAAATTATTTAGAATTGCTGTAGAATGCATAATTTTTAACAACTAAAAGGGTGGAGGAAAATTTTCATAAGCCTGTAGAATTAGGGGTTATCATGCACATCAGGTTGATAATTTTTCTTTGAATGAAGAAAGTATAGTGAGACCCCCACATGCAGACACCTCAGCATGTGGACAATATGACCATGTGGACAATACAGACATTTTTTCCCATAAAAATTAATAAAAAAGGCCTGACATGTGGACACTGACTCAACATGTGGACATGGTGTGCTAAAAATTCAAATACGTTTCAGGCCAAATTATAAGAAGCAGATATTTCCAACCCTAAGATTTTTGTAAGAAAAGTTCTTTGGCATCTCTCTAATCATTATACCATCCATTTAGGTGATTTGAAAAAATTACCTCCACCATAGAGGGACTTCCTTCTCTATTTTTTACTTGAATTTTATTTTGATTGAGAGTGCCAACATTTCAATGTATTGTACTGTACAGAGGTGCAGTAATCAATGCTCCAAATGTCCTTATTGAGTTGAAAAATATTGATTGAATCAGTTTAAATTGGCACACAATTTTTTTATTATTCTCATGGGATTCTGATGAATATTTCTTCCATAAAACACTAATTAAAAGTATATAATGTAAGTCTAAGGGAAAAACAAGACTTGACTTACAGACATTTTGACTTTGGAATGCTCTTGATGCACCAATTACATCCACATCTTGGGGTCTCACTGTAATCAATGGAACTGTGCTCCCTAAAAACAATTTTATTTTTACAAATCAGCAGTTATGCAAGCATGCATTCATCAAATCAGCATTTCATGATGCTGGGTTTTACTATGTTAGACAGTTTACTGATTTTCTCTAATTTTAATTGCGTATATCAATCAAGTCAGTTCATTTACTTGACTTTTTCTTGCAATTTTGGCAATATAAAATTTAAAATTGAAGCATGGGGAGAACTCATGATGGGCTATAGTGCAAACCGCTCACCTGCAAGCATTTTCTCTCTGACAGGAAACGTTTATCCTTAGCACAAAGGCATCCTTTCTTTTCCTGAAGAATTTGACAGAAGGATTTTTATCAATTGGAGAAATGGGTCTCACTTAATTATATAATATCTTACTGTTTTCTCCTCTCACAAAACAGCTTGCTGAGATTGTTATGGAGTTGAGTGCAGTTGGCTGTACAGCTGCAGCACAATAAGGATGAATGGAATGAAAGAAAATAAGAAAAAAACTGCCATACTTTGCAAAATTGCAAATGCCAGGTTTTGGCTCTGTGATCTAAAGTGGCAGGTGCCAGGTGTATGTACCAGGCATGAAGAGGAACAGGTTCTGATGGCCCACCTGCTGGGCAACCAGTTTTGCCCCCCAGCATATTTCACCCTTGTCCACAATTAACTTTGAAAAAGGGTTCTGCCTCTTGCATTATTGTAGGCTTTGAAATTAACATCATTTTCCTAGTTTTTAAGGTTTAAAATCCTCCACAAACTTAGATTAGTCTTTTTTTTTATGAATGAATGAATGAACAGAAAACTTTATTTGCCGATTAAGATTTCAGAAAGTGTCTCTTCATTGAATTTCAGTAATTTTAAATCTTTCTTAAGCTGATTTCTATCCGTGCAAAATGCTGTGACTGTTGGATTGCTGGAGGAATGTTTTCTTTTATTCACTAAATGATCAATGCAGAGCATGATTTTGATAATTCCATAAATTATATAATAACTTTCTTGTTAGTTCACTCAGAAAAAGTTTGTTGGAGGGGAAAGTTTTGGTTGTGCTAATTTCCCCCAGAATTTACACAAAAATCAATACAGTAGCTTCTTTGCTTGATAATTCCATAAATTATATAATAACTTTCTTGTTAGTTCACTCAGAAAAAGTTTGTTGCAGGGGAAAGTTTTGGTTGTGCTAATTTCCCCCAAAATTTACACAAAAAATCAATACAGTAGCTTCTTTCCAAAGTCTTTTATAAAATATCATTTAAGGGATCATCCATTATTTGACACACAAATTTCATTTTGGGTGCAAGGAACTAATTGCTTTCTGGTTTGTGGAAGCCTGAGGGGAAATTGAATTTGGTTCACAAACTTTTATTAAGAGCCCATAAAGTTTGTCAACCAAGGGTTGAATGTACTTGTATAATGAACTTTTTGGTTAAGGACATTCTTCCTTTTCCTGGATGAAGACCATACACCAAAACACCACTTATCACATGCAAGAACAGGAAGAACAGGTGTAAAATGGGCGAATTTTCATGCAACAAGAGACTTCTTTTAGCCTAAAGATAACAAAAAAAGCAGCAAAAAAAATGGATGACGCGCCTCATAAAATATTTGAAATCTTCTTCTCAAGAAGATTCCATGACGACAGTAATTTATATTTTTAAATTTCTCGTCAAGGGCGACGTCTCGCCGTCGTGGTTCACAGAGCGGAACATCCGCTCGACGCCTGCGCCAATGCCCTCTGGCAAACTTCCGCTGTGGCGCCTTTGAAGAAGAAGAAAAAAAAGGCGCCTGTCGGCGGGGCGACAGTCCCTCACATGAACTGAAAATTGCCTTATAGGTCCACGGAGGAAACGGTAAAAATAAATGGCTGTCCAGATTTCCTTGATCTTCATGTGACTTGACAGAAGAGAACCTTTGAAAAGTGAGACCCCCAGATGCGGACATAATTGGTGCATCAAGAGTGCCCCAAGTTGAATGTCCCTAAGTCAAGTCTCATTTTCCCTGTGAATTACATTAAATAATTTTTAATTGATGTTTTATGTACAAAACAATCACCCTAATTTTATGAAAGTAAATATTGGCTCCCAATTTAACTGTTTCAAATCAATGTATTTTGACAAAATATGGACATTTGGGGAATTGAATACTGATACCTCTGTACAACACATATAAACATTAGCATCCTCTGTTGAAATAACATTCAAGTGAAAAAGAGAAAAGGAAGTCCCTCCCTGCTGGCAGTAATTTTTTAAAATCAGCTAAATGGAAGGTAAATTGGTGAGAGGAATGCCCAAGAACTTTTCTTACATCAATTTTAGGGTTGGAAATACAGTATCTGTTTCTTGTAATTTGGCCTGAACAGTACATATAAACGTTGGCATTCTCTGTAAAAATAACATTCAAGTGAAAAGAGAGAAGGAAGTCCCTCCCTGCTGGCAGTAATTTTTTAAAATCAGCTAAATGGAAGGTAAATTGGTGAGAGAAATGCCCAAGAACTTTTCTTACACCAATTTTAGGGTTGGAAATACAGTATCTGTTTCTTGTAATTTGGCCTGAAATGTATTTGCAGTTTTATCACAAAATGTCCCCATGTTGAGTCAGTGTCCTCATGTTGGGCCTATTTTTTAATTTTCCATGGGAAAATAAGTGTCCCTATGTCAAATTGTCCACAGAGGTCAAGGTGTCTGCATGTGTGGGTCTCACTGTATTTTACTAAAAGGGTGTGCGCAGGAAACCTTTTCACAACCTCTTTTTTTTTTAAATACAGAATTGATCTGACAAACACAAAAAAAAACAAGCAAAAACTCATAAATTTGTTGCTCTTTGGCAAACTTTTGGACTGTTTTTTTCCTTTTTTTAGGAGTGTCCAGCACTCATTTCTTTAATTTGAAATAGTGCAGACATGCCTCTGGAAATTCTTCAAAGAACATAAAACAGCACATATCACATTTAATACTTGGTTCACATTTCAGTATTTGAAGAAAAGTTAACTTCGATACTGTACAGTGGCATTTGTGCTAGAACAAATAAGGCTGCTAACTGTGTGGCACATGATGCAATGTATTTTTTTCTGCTAATTTACCACCTCAATAAATGCTGTTACAAAGGTTTGTTCATATGTTTTGAAACTTTTAGAAATAGACTCAATAGAGTTCTAAAATTTCCAAAAAATTGTGTATCATCCCATAATTCACATTCCTTCTATTGTTGGTCTTGGATCTTCAAATGCACAATGGTATCTATACTACTGTGCACCTTACCGTAGGCGAAGTATTTCACCTTTGTCCCTGCACCTCAGAAGATATTTTTCCTTGCACTGGAGTCATTTGCTGTTGTATTTCAGCTCACAGAAAAAAATAATTACTACGGTATTTTTACATTGGATTTACTATTTATTTCCGTTAAATTAGGAACGCGTAAGCATCTGAATTCTACAGTGCACTTGAGGCCACCCTTCACTTATTTCATTCGTCATTTACACAACAATAGACAGCGCGGAATAATACAGCAGCGACATCTAACTGAACTGCCAGCTGCAGCAACGAATGAGGCAATACATTCCAGCAGATGTCAGCCAAAGATTCATCGAAAAATAAAGCCATCCGAAAAAACTCGAAAATTACTTGATATGCAAGTGTACTTCCACAATACAATAATTCATACTTTTCAAACATTCAATCAATCAATAAAAAAGAAAAGAAAAAAAAAACAAGAAAACACAACGTTTTTTTCTTCTTTTTTCTTTCTAAAAACCACCACCAGGAGCGCGTTGAACTTTTCCCGCCGCCGTCTGGGCCCGAGCCTTCGACACTCCATTGTGCAATGCCGGGCCGAGGAACCCAAACTCCGCCCGATACTGGTCCAACACGTCCGGCAGGTTCCGACAAATCTTCAGAGCCGACACACACGATTTGACCAACAAGGTTTGAATGTGCACTGCAGCCACTCGGTCCGCATTGGAGGAAGCGCCTTGTCCGGAAGCGTAGGGATGCATACTTCCGGGTCCTCCAGTTTCCAGGTGAGATCGAAGCTTCTCCCCAAGTTGCTTGAGCAGGGGGATGAGGAAGTTTTTGATACAATCCATTCCCAGCTCGGCAATACCTGAAATGAAAAAGATACAGTGAAATGTTGTCACAAGAAACTCTTGGGGACTTTGTAATAAATTTGTTTTAACAAAAAATTCGTTGTATTGAGATTCATGGTTTCTAACACATTTTAGGCTGACATTTTGTGGGAAATGGGCAATGAATACTTTCAAGGACCTCCAAAACAAATAATTCTATCATAATTAATAAGTATTCCCAATGAAATGTAGATAAAATTTGAAATAGTGCTTTCTTTTTACTGAACCTGCCATCCTACTAAAAAGTGACATTTGTCTCAAAGTATATACAATGGAACATGAGTACATGTAAGAGGAACACTCCCTTTTGACAAAACTTTTTTGTTCATGCAAGTTCTTGCAGATGGAAGAAAATTCTTTCAAACATAATGTACATTGTAATATACACCAAGTACATTCTAGAATGGAGCTAATGAATTTCCAAAAAATGCATCAGGTTGAGTACTTTTTGAACACCTAGTTCTCTGTGCAGAAAATTTTCCTTTCCAATAAAGCTGGAATGCTGAACCTTTTTTGTTTCTAGCCATACATATCAAATGAACTGTATGGTCTATGCACAGAATCATGAGAAGAATTTTCTATGAGATTACAGCTTAAAATTAGTTTATTGTAATGATATTTTTACAACATTAAGCCTATGGATAACTGCCAGGACCAATACGATAATTCGTTATAATGAAAATAACAGAATTCTACTGTATATAAAGATGAAAAAGAACGTATACTGTATATACATAGTATACAGTACCAGTACAGTAGATGAAGTATCCTTTTTTTCTTTTATATACAGTCAAACCTTGATTTAGTGCCACCCCTGCATACTGCCACAAATTTTTCTGGAAAAAATCTCCCGCCATTGTATTCTCAAGAATCTCAAGGCAAAGCTTGATTTAGTGCCACAAAAAAGTTCCTGTCCTAGATGAAAAATAGGCCAAACTGTCAAGAAATCAAGGTATGCTTCTAGGGAAATAATCTCATTACTGAGAATCACATGCCCATGCTCAGAATAATTTTAAAATCTTTTTTTTCTGAATTCATATTTAATTGAGTGGTTTGATTTGGATGCCCTTTACAGCAAAGAACATCCCAATAACCAGGATAGTCTATTAAAAATTACTCCACCTGACCATGGAAATGTGTGCTCTTCTTAGAAGGTTTAAAAAAAAATGGCAAGATACAGGTCCACTCTTTCATTTGATCCAATATGTGCAAAACTATTATATTCAGCACCGTCACACAATTTAAAATATTTTACAGTAAAAACAGTTCCTTTAAGCCTCAAATTAATTCCTGGGGATCTCTCTTATAAAACTGACCCAATGGCCTAGCGTTTCTGCAGACTAGCCTATTTTACTTCGAGTAAAAGCCCTCAACTAAATTATACTCCAATACAATACCCCCACTTCAGCGCCACCCTTGCTTATTGCCACAAAATGTGCCAGGACAAATGATGTAACTAATTGGGGTTTGACTACAAACAAACTATACAATCAAGTACCACACGAACCCTTCTTCCTCAAAATTGACAGGAAAAAAGTGGTTGGCGCATGTCAACAGGTACTGTACAAATATTTTGCGAAGTTTTAGAAGTTTAGGTGTGCATAACACATTACAGTATTTGATTCTAATGATACATTTTGGACCAATTTTAACAGAAAAACTTATTGCAATGGAAATGATTCAAAGTAAGTTGAATTCAGGACCAATTCATGTCCAAATTCAAATTTGAGTGATCTTATTTTTGAATTACAGTACTGTACTCAAGTTTTAGAGTCATTAAGATTGGGGTGCGCTTCCTGAACTTAATAAAGTACATATTCTGTAAATAGAATCTTGATTAAATAATGAAATACAGGTGAAGGAACTTTTCAAGAATACCACAATTAACGCACCAGTGATAGCACCATATTTTCCTGTCAAGTGAGTGGAATCCGAAGTCAAAGCTTTGGTGAGCATCCTAGTGACGCGGGTTTGCAGCTGATTCGCAGACGTGTGAAACGCTCTGCACATTTGCGCCAACAATTTGGCAGCAAAATCTCGCAAGGCCCAGTGATTGTCAACGTCGGGTCGGTTGCACAACTGTTTGCTCACCATGCAACTCGTCACTGCCGGTATCAACTCGTGCAACTGCAAAAAAAAAATCAATTCAATATACACATTTCGCCACTTTTTCGACCTTCTCCTATCAAATGATTTTGTGCAGACACGAGAATTGTTTCCAACGTTTGGTCATCCCCGTAAACATAACAATTCTGAGCAGTCAAATTTCTCAGTTGGATTCCATCAAAACAACGGGATTTTTCAAATACTTCAGCAGCGAACTTCTCCGAAGTTTCCATATTTCACGCAAGAAAGATCAAATTCAAAATTGAGACACTGAGTCGAATTGCAAAACCAAAATCGGAATCAAAATGACACGAAAAAACGTTACAGAAATCGACATATACTCCACAGCCTAACGATGATCCAAGGAAAACTTGAATAGAATCTCACAACCTGAAACTTGATTTAGAACTCAAACACCTCGAATAGATGTCGCTCTCATGCTTTATCGGGTTCCGACCCGCTAAAATTTTCCACGTTTCCAACATTTTTTTTCCAAATATTATCTGAAAAGCCAAATTCTAAGCTCCAGGAAAAATATAATCTAAGCTTTCGCGTGACTCGACTCACGTATCGTTCCAACGAAAGCGAAGAATTATCCAGAAGGGCTTTGCACCAGCTGCAGCAACGAATGAGGCAATACATTCCAGCAGATGTCAGCCAAAGATTCATCGAAAAATAAAGCCATCCGAAAAAACTCGAAAATTACTTGATATGCAAGTGTACTTCCACAATACAATAACTCATACTTTTCAAACATTCAATCAATCAATAAAAAAGAAAAGAAAAAAAACAAGAAAACACAGCGTTTCTTCCTTCTTCTTTCTATCTAAAAACCACCACCAGGAGCGCGTTGAACTTTTCCCGCCGCCGTCTGGGCCCGAGCCTTCGACACTCCATTGTGCAATGCCGGGCCGAGGAACCCAAACTCTGCCCGATACTGGTCCAACACGTCCGGCAGGTTCCGACAAATCTTCAGAGCCGACACACACGACTTGACCAACAGGGTTTGAATGTGCACTGCAGCCACTCGGTCCGCATTGGAGGAAGCGCCTTGTCCGGAAGCGTAGGGATGCATACTTCCGGGTCCTCCGGTTTCCAGGTGAGATCGAAGCTTCTCCCCGAGTTGCTTGAGCAGGGGGATGAGGAAGTTTTTGATACAATCCATTCCCAGCTCGGCAATACCTGAAAAAAATAATATACAGTAAAATGTTGGCACAAGAAACTCTTGAGGACTTGGTAAGAAATTTGTTTCAACAAAAAATTCGTTGCATTGAGATTCATGGTTTCTAACACATTTTAGGCTGACATTTTGTGGGAAATGGGCAATGAATACTTTCAAGGACCTCCAAAACAAATAATTCTATCATAATTAATAAGTATTTCCAATTAAATAAAGGAAATTTGAAATAGTGCTTTCTTTTTACTGAACCTGCCATCCTACTAAACAGTGACATTTGTCTCGAAGTATATACTGTACAATGGAACATGAGAACATGTAAGAGGAACACTCCCTTTTGACTAAACTTTTTTGCTCATGCAAGTTTTTGCAGATGGAAGAAAATTCTTTCAAACATAATGTACATTGTAATATACAGCAAGTACATTCTAGAATGGAGCTAATGAATTTCCAAAAAATGCATCAGGTTGCGTATTTTTTGAACACCTAGCTTTCTGTGCAGAAAATTTTCCTTTTCAATGAAGCGGGAATGCGGCACTATTTTTTTTTTCTAGCCATACATATCAAATGAACTGTATGGTCTATGCACAGAAATCATGACAAGAATTTGCTATGAGATTACAGCTTAAAATTAGTTTATTGTAATGAGAGTTTTACAACATTAAGGCTATGGATAACTGCCAGACCAATAAGATAATTTGTCATAATTAAAATAACAGAATTCTACTGTATATACAGATGCAAAAGAACATATACTGTGTATACAGTACCAGTACAGTAGATACAGTACTTCTTTTTTCTTTTATACGTATACAGTCAAACCTTGATTTAGTGCCACCCCTGCATACTGCCACAAATTTTTCTGGAACAAATCTCCCTCCATTGTATTCTCAAGGCAAAGCTTGATTTAGTGCCACAAAAAAGTTCCTGTCCTATATGAAAAATAGGCCAAACTGTCAAGAAATCAAGGCATGCTTCCAGGGAAATCATCATCTTATTACTGAGAATCACATGCCCATGCTCAGGATAATTTTAAAATAATTTTTTTTTAATTTACATTTTATTGAGTGGTTTGATTTGGATACCCTTCAGAGCAAAGAACATGATAACCAGGATAGTCTATTAAAAAATTACTCCACCTGACCATGGAAATGAGTGCTCTTCTTAGAAGGTTTATGAAAAATTGCAAGATACAGGTCCACTCATTCACTTGGCCCAATATGTGCAAAACCATTACATTCAGCACTATCACAAAATTAAAAATATTTTTCAGTAAAAACAGTTCATTTGAGCTTCAAATTAATTCCTGTGGATCTCTCTCCCTCTCTCTCTCTCTCTTATAAAACTGACCCAATGGCCTAGCATTTCTGCAGACTAGCCTATTTTACTTCAAATAAAAGCCCTCAACTAAATTATACTCCAATACAATACCCCCACTTTAGTGCCACCCTTGCTTAGTGCCAAGACAAATGATTTAACTAATTGGGGTTTGACTACATACATACTATGCATTCAAGTACCACACACACCCTTCTTCCTCAAAATGGACAGGAAAAAGTGGTTGGCGCATGTCAACAGGTACTGTACAAAAATTTTACAAAGTTTTAGAAGTTTAGGTGTGCATTACACAGTATTTGATTCTAATGATACATTTTGAACGAATTTTAACAGAAAAACTTATTGCAATGGAAATGATTCAAAATAAGCTTAAATCAGGACCAATTCATGTCCAAATTCAAATTTGGGTGATCTTATTTTTGAAATACAGTACTGTACTCCAGTTTTAGAGTCATGAAGATTGGGGTGCGCGTCCTCAACTTAATATAGTACATATCATGTAAATAGAAACCTTATTAAATAATGAAATACAGGTGAAGGAACTTTTCAAGAATACCACAATTAACGCACCAGTTATAGCACCATATTTTCCTGTCAAGTGAGTGGAATCCGAAGTCAAAGCTTTGGTGAGCATCCTAGTGACGCGGGTTTGCAGCTGATTCGCAGACGTATGAAACGCTCTGCACATTTGCGCCAACAATTTGGCAGCAAAATCTCGTAAGGCCCAGTGATTGTCAACGTCGGGTCGGTTGCACAACTGTTTGCTCACCATGCAACTCGTCACTGCCGGTATCAACTCGTGCAACTGCAAAAAAAAAAATCATCAATTCAATATACACATTTCGCCACTTTTTCGACCTTCTCCAATCAAATGATTTTGTGCAGACACGAGAATTGTTTCCAACGTTTGGTCATCCCCGTAAACATAACAATTCTGAGCAGTCAAATTTCTCAGTTAGATTCCATCAAAACAACGGGCTTTTTCGAATACTTCAGCAGCGAACTTCTCCGAAGTTTCCATATTTCACGCAAGAAAGATCAAATTCAAAATTGAGACACTGAGTCGAATTGCAAAACCAAAATCGGAATCAAAATGACAAAAAAACGTTACAGAAATCGACATAAACTACACAGCCCAACGATGATCCAAGGAAAACTTGAATAGAAACTCTCAACCTGAAACTTGATTTAGAACTCAAACACCTCGAATAGATGTCGCTCTCATGCTTTATCGGGTTCCGACCCGCTAAAATTTTCCACGTTTCCAACATTTTTTTTTCCAAATATTATCTGAAAAGCCAAATTCTAAGCTCCAGGAAAAATATAATCTAAGCTTTCGCGTGACTCGACTCACGTATCGTTCCAACGAAAGCGAAGAATTATCCAGAAGGGCTTTGCACATTCGCATGAGGTAAATAAGAAGGGCAAGGTTCTTTTGCACCACGTTCACCCGAACGCCTTCTGCAATGAATGTGCACAGGCGAGGCAGCATCTGATGCAATCCTGGGTCCGACGACAACGACTGAAGTGCTTCCTGCAATCATCAAGAAGAGGAAGAAATTTAGACTAACCCGAAAAACAAGTTAAAAAAAAGAATCTTCGTTCGAAAAGTCGACGTGGAAAAACTTGCAGTTCTTCGGGCCTCATCCGCTCCGACGCAAGCCTCTGTGATTTCCTTGTAGTAAAGTTGCTGTTCCACAGAAAGCTCGTGAGTGGCCAGATCCTTGATTTTCACCATCTCTTCCGTCTTCAGTTCTTTCCTCAGTTTTCTAAAAAAAATATATAAAGTATTCAGAAGAACTATAATTATTCACTTACTCACACACAAAATCATTCAACACTCAGGAAAAATTCGACAGATTTGATTTGAGTTCATTGGACGACAAAGTAATTTTCTTTCAAAATTAAATCTGGACGAACAATAGTAGTGCCCAGAAGAAATGTGTTAAAAATTAACATATCAACTCAAGTTTCGTCCACCTGAAGGATGAACGGTTTCACTACATTCACAAGGAAGTCAATACTGTATTAAACAGTTCGAAATTAGGACTTGTGCGTTCCAAAATTATTTTGCCCTCGAGAGGTCGCTACAATGCGTTTGAGTATTCAATTCTACATGATTTTTGGTTCCCATTTTCATCTTTCAATTACCCAAATGCAATCAAAGCTGTAATTGGGTTTACTAGTCCGAAAATATTTTGTCTTAGAACAGGGATCCGTTTTTGAAAAAAAGATTTCATTAGTGGTGGAAACGAAATCTTTTCCAGAAAAACAGGTTGCAGTGATTTCACGATGATTTTTCCATTCGGCAAAGTAGGAAAAAAAAGGAAAAAAGGGAATATCAAAAATTCGTCGTTGAATTGTTTTCTTGAAAAATTCGCACCCTGTTTGTGGAGGTTGAGGATGAGCAGCAGTTCCCGGAATGATTTTGGCAGCGGGATCCGACGAATCCCTCTTCTGCAAATCCTTGCCAATCGGTGGAGGATTTTCCGGAATAGACGGCTGAATTCCATCAATCGCCAGCCAATGCACTGGAAAAAAAAAAAAAAAGAAGCGAGAATTCAAACCAAGAATAAAAAAAATTTAATTCATAATTGCAGAAAAAAAGAGTCGACGAATAAACTGCATACCTTTCAGTTGGGCATCTGAAGGAACTTTCGGCACAGGCGCATTGACGAGGTCTCCGAGCTCAATCTCCTTTTCTTCATTGAAAAACAGCTCTCTTCCTCCACCACTGGCAAATCGGAACGGAATACTTTCGGCAGCCCTGAAGCCATAAATCGGCTCAACATTCTTCGATTTCAACGTATGATCAATGTCCCACGTGAGCATTTTGTCTCGTTTCGAGTGGACCATAAACTTTGAGGCGTCCTGAAAAGAAGAAGGAAAATTGGTCAATGTTTACAATGACACCCTTTTTTTCAGAAAAACACGAGGGTCTTTTTTTAAAACGATTTTGAAAGATCTGTCCCAGTTCGGCATATCTTTCGTGATATACAATGAGGAAAATTCTCTGAAGTTGTTCGATGCTTTCTGTAATTTCCTTAAGACTGGAAAATAAAGGACAAGGATTGTCCTAATGACGCGCAACGGAAGATATTCCACGAAATTTACCCTATGATGGTTCAGGCATTTGCTATTTTTTCAGATTTTCAAGACACATTTTCAAAATATTTTACAACGAGAAGTGAAAACCTTTTTAGAAACAGCCCAAGGTTTTAATTCATTCCAGAATATGCAGAAAATTTGTCGCGAGAGCTTAAAATTTGAAGTTGTTTTTTGTGTAGAACATAAGCAGAAAATTTTGCACGTGACTTTTAAAATTTAAAATTTTGTTGCGCAGAATGTAAGAAACGCGATGTTCTACAGAAAAACATAATTTAAAATTGTGAACATAATTTAAAACACTCATGGCAAATTTTCTGAAAATTCTGGAATCACTTGAGACCTCTGGCTGTTCCTGAAAAGTTTTCACTTCTCATAATGTAGTGTTCTGAAAAAATACTGTATTGCGTTTTTGTGTAGACCATTACATTTTCCACATTCTGCACACAAAAATTTCCATTATTAAAATATCATGAAATATTTTCTGCTTACTGCTTTCCGGAATAAATTAAAACTTCCAGCGGTTACTGGCAAGTTTCCACTTCTCATTATGCAGCGTTCTGAAAAAATTCCTTAAAAATCCGAGAAAAAAATTATTGATACTGTACTCGGAAAAATAGGAAGTGCCTGAAAAGTCATCGGTTAGTTTGTTTTTCCTTCCAATTCTAAACGTCAGAAATATTTTACTGTATAGTTGTGTAGAACATTACGTCTCCTCGCTTCCTACTCAACAGAACTTCAATTTTTAAAATTTCACGACAAATTTCCATCATATTCCAAAAACGGTCACAAATGAATAATGTTCGTTAAATCCACAAAATTTGCGATAAAATAAATGAATAAATCTCCATATTCGCTTTCATAGCACTAATATGAAATGAAACTTCACCTGAATAATGTGTCGCACTCGGAAAGTCACATCATCCGAAAGCTCTTTCGCAGCATGATCCGGCAAAACAATGCCTATAGACTCCGCGATCACTTTTATCGACTCCGCGGAGAATTCCGCCATTTTCTAAAAACCCTACAAACGAGAACAAAACACACGGTTATACAACAAAAGCCACTTCCACGTCGACATTGATAAAAAAAAATCACTTTCATCACTCGAAAAACGTGTTTCCGACGCTTGAGAAGAAAAAACACACGGAGTAGCAAACCGTTCGAGGTAAATTGAGACGCTCGGTACTGAAAAAATGTTCGCTTCGTATCAAACAATTAAAAAAAAAGGTGGAAAAAACATTTTTCGAAGCCAATAGAGCTTCTCGATTACAGTACTTTTCACCCGCGATCAACCGAAATCACTTTCTCCCATCATTATGGCAGTGTCGTGGAGATGACATCACCTCAAACAACTTGACAAATCACTGATTAACCAGATACAGTATTCCCGAAGTGAAAAAAAATCACGCCATAGACAACGAAATTACAGAAAACTTACGAGGACGAAGTGAGAAACAGCTGATTTATTCAAATTATCGGCACTTCTCGACAGCAAGAAAACTTGAATTCCTAACTCTGGCATTAAATCGTTGAGGTTGTGATGCTCATATTAATATTTCTGCGCAAAAAAATCAAAAAATTGACTCATTTCAGGATATATTGAAAAAGTTACATCGTATCAACGATTTGTCAAAATTCCCTTGATGATCCTGGAAAATAAAAGTCGTTTTTAGTGAGGGGAAAAAATACCATAATCTAAAAGAATTTGACGATTTTTCTCGTCGAAAAGCGATGCTTCCATGTCCCACCACAAAAAAAAACCCATCGCACGGAATCAATCATTTACCCCCCTCAAGACTTGAAAAAAAAATCATCAGTTCAAATACTTCCGACACTTCACGGCCCGGCAGTGACACGGCAACTTCTCGCCGTCATCGACAGGGAATTTGTAATTGTACGTCAGTTCCTCCCCGGCATCCACGTCTTTCAAAGCCACAATCAGAATTCTCTTCTTTCCGAAAACGGTAACGATTTTCGAATGACAATTCGGATCGCACGAGTGGTTGATGAACCTCGCCAACCCGCCCTTCATCGTCGCGTCAATCACTTCGTCGTCATCCACTCGAAACATGTAACAACCGAGTTTCATCGACGTGTACAACTTTTCTCGCTTATCGGCCACCGTGGATCGAACCCGTTCCCCAATGTACTCAATCACCAGGTCCCCGGGTTCCAGGGATCGTTTGGTGAAAAGTCCAGACCCTTCGATTCCGGATCGATGCACGAACACTGCGTCGCGGAAATCGCCGAGAGACAAGTAACGACTGTTCAGAGGTAGACTGCGAAGGCGTTTGGCCATTGCTCGCGCCATCTTGGAGGACATGGCTTTGCCGCCATTTTGAGGACGCCAATCGGAGATGTCTGGCCGGGGACGATGCACCGAAGACAACCACGAAAACGGGTTCCTCGGTCTTTTCACGCCACTGTGAGATGAGAAAAAAAGAAAAGGAAAACAAAAAGTCATCAGTAACATCAGTTTCTTCGTTTTCAAAATTAAATGATGAATGCATCAAAAAATCCCTCAATAAATTTAGAAAATTGCTTTTAGAAACAGATCAAGGATCTGATAGAATAAAGCATAGCACAGAAAAAAAAATTTAGGAAAGCTTTTTCAGAAAATGGGGAAGCATCAATAATCACAATTCCCCAAAAAAACATGTACCTTCGGGTAACAAACTTAATTGGTTCCAGACAAAAGTTTGCCAACCAAATTAGATTTTCCCATAGACTTCAATAGGAAAGAAAGAATTCAATCCATTCCATGAACCCAAAAGACAATTGAACATTAAATATAAAAAATTCAAGATCATCAACTATAATCAGAATAAGTTGCTTCTGCATCTTGTATATGCCCAAAATGTTTTTACAGAATTATATGGTAGTAGCGATGATATAACAATGACAAAAAAGCTTCACATCCAGAGAAAGACACACACAGGGATACAAGTCAGGTGAAAATGAAGTTTTTTTAAAGCTACTAGTAAATAAAATAGACCATTCCAAAAATTGAATAACAAGAAAATTTAGCGCAGAAAAGCATATGAATCATGTAGCTGAAACAAATTTCAGAACACAAGACTGCACATAATAAAGTGACACAAGGAAATAAATTTCACATCAGTGCGTAGGTGAATTACTTGCAATTAGATTTTATCATAAATTCCCACCAAAAAATAAAATTTTGGATTTTTCCCAAAATAAGTTTAAAAAAATTCATTTTTCATGAAAACCAAAAATTTGTTAACCATGGGCCCACTGTACTGCATTCTCAAGCAAAACAGCTGAAGCAAAAATTAACAGAAAACCCAAAGAAAAAATAAGTACAGTCCAACCTTGATAAGTTGAACCACCCAAAGTCGAATTTTCCCCAGTCTCCTTCCAATCCCTTAGAGAATAATGTTGAAAAACCTCTTTAACTCGAAACAGTTCAATGGAAAACCTCCCTAAGTCAAATTTTTCAAACACAAGGAGCCACCAGATTTTTTTTTAGTCCAGCGATTTTTGAGGGAGGATAGCTGCTTCAGTTTGATGCAGCATCCTCCCCCATTCATTGAACAAAGAGACACTGTCTCTTTGTCATTTTACTGCTGCAGCATTCACCCACAAAGGACAACTTTTCATAACTGTTAAAAAAAGCAAACATGCTGTTTTCTACCTATGTCTCAATTTTTCTCCCTCAACCTTTTTCTTTCGTCAGAATAAATGAAAGTGGTCTACTGCCTTACCATGTCAAGGAAAGGGCATAAGCTAAAAAAATGGCAATCAATGAAAAAGTATCAATTATGAGAGCTGTGGAAAAAGGCTAAAAAAAAAGTGGTCAGCAACAAATTTCAGGAGAATGAATTTAAAATTTTTTACATGCAGGATTGCAGAACAATCAACTGCTGGAAAGCAGCAGACAAAGTGCATATGCAGAGAGAGTGATTCTGATGAACTTATCAAGATAAAAAACACTTGAATGAATTGTTGAAAGTTTGGCAAGGAAAATTTATCTTCTTTAACTATGATTCAATTCTACTGAGAAAAAACTAAACCTAGAATATAAATAAGAATATAATAGCAAAGAAAATTGGTGAACAAATATTCACAGCCTGATTTTGACCCATCTTCCAAAACACCTTTCCACCACCAAGACACAGACCAACTGATAATAAATTATAAATATCTGCACTATTTATCCTACAGTTCCTGTCCCTGGAATTCCTTCATGGGTTAGGCTACTGCATGAGAGAAAGTGAAAGAAATAATCTCCCAACACATGAAATAACCCCTTCCTT